TGAAGATATGAAGACATTAATTAGTGTAAATAAATATCCTATGAATATGTGATTGTACTATGATGAACACTTAGCCATGTGTGCGTGTTTCTGAGTACCTTATATGTGTTCTAAGTTTCCTTAAATTCAGCAATGATGATGTGGTATAAAGTAAACAAAGGTAAGGTATGCTGGATGTTGTAAATACATATAGAGCAGGTTGTGTAGTTGCCTTGTTCTGAGTACATATATACAAAGGTTCAAGCACTTGCAAAAAACAAAAAAATTAAGCACTTGGAAATGCACTCCCTGCCAGCATCCAAAAAACCAAAAGCCCTTGCCCCGCCCAAAAAACTTTTTTGTTGTTCCCATTCCATTCAGTTCAAGTCTGAAGAGAGGTATTCATCTTCCTCTTCAGGGTTGAACTGAATCATATCTTCAGGTGTACTCCCATTTCCTTCTCCAAGTAGTCTTGCTATGTTGACAACTACCTCTGGGTCTATGTGAAGGGACTTAGGCAGTGTCCCAGTCCTTTCCAGTCTGCCTTTGCCCATATGCTGCAGTTTATAATTGTTTCCTCCTTCTTTTTCCATGATTGTAGCCATGACCTGCTGATAACTTAACCAAACTTTATTTAAAGTTTCTGGACTTAGAGCATTATAAGCTCCTTGAACTGCCTCTAACAATTCCTCAACTGTGTTTGGAGCACACTGTTCTTTTAAGGACTGGATGACTCTGAAAAACCCAAGATCAAGGACATTTAAATCTGGGGAGTTGGGGGGTTGGTTACCTAGGGTAATGTGGAAACCATTACTGTTTCCTGCAGCTACAAATTCTGAGTTTAAACCTTGAATGTGTGGCCTAGCATTATCCTGTTGAATATGAATGTTCTTTGATAAATTTCTAGGCCACTTCTCTTGGATAGCTGGAATTACTTTATTTATAAGCATGTCTTTTGTGACTTGTTTGGTAACTGCCTTGATTGGTTTGACTTCCAAGACCCCTTTAGCCCTGTTCTTGCTCTTTCTTTTGGCTTCAACAGTTTCAGTAAAATGAAAAATGCCAATTTTTCCATCCCAAAGAACAACTCCATTATCATCAATAAGTGGTCTACCAACCACACACAAGAACATGACTTTTGTAATGAACCTTTTTGATTTGCATGTCCTATAGGGGTCAACTTCTTCAGGAAGAAGGTAAAACCTCTGAGATGTTTTGGTCATAAAGAACCACTTCTCATCAATGTGCAATACATTATGAAAAGACTTGAATATAGGTTGGTGAGGCATACTCAAAGGTTCTATTTGGTCTAAACAGAATTTCAACCTAGCTTGTTTATTAGCAGC